CTCCTCATCCTCCTCCTCCTCCTCCATGCACGCACTGCTTTTATGCCAGCCCCAGTTCCCACGCTGTTCACCGTTTAAAACGTTGCCACCGTGCTTGTTGGGCAGGTGTGATCTAGCTGCGGCCACGAACGGCGCAGTCCAGTTAGCGGCCAGTAGACCATCTCCTTACCTGCCCAAAGCATGCATTCTTTTTAGTTTTATTCCTCGAATTCTGACTTAGGTCAGCATTCGCTCAATACAGATGGATTATTAGCCCCCTGTAGACGCGATGTATATGCTGTTTTTCTGACCTTTGTTCAGGGGAACCCGCCGTCCCAAATGGCAAGACATCCCTGAAAAGGTTACTTTTTGTAGCCAGTTACACTAACAAGTGACTAAACAGTTTGCTGATGGTTTCTTTTGTGTGGTAAACCACAATAGTATTTGTCATTCTATGAATATTTAAGAGGAAACCTTTTTTTCGTCTAAGAAATCAGTGACTGTCGCGCACATTCAATGAATCTTTGTGCCAACCTGAAGCAAGAAGCTATCGTCAATGTGGCCAAACGCCACGGCTACAACGTGCTTGCGCTTGCACAGAATTTGGATGACATGGCAGTCAGGTAGGTAGGCAACAACTTTTCAGGAAACAACGCCGACCTTCAGGGTACTATGGTGGCATTTTTAAAGGCCGACACTGGAATATTGAAGACTTAAATGCATCAGGCAAACTAATATTGTTCATTTACTATATGAAAGGACATAGTTAAGGGCCAAATGACAGTAAATTTCTGATAAGAAGTGTGCAGAGCTTGCTTAAATTGAGAAGCCTTTTTCTTCACAATTAATTGGTTTTGGCCCGGTCGCAGATCAGTGGACGCCTACTCCACCCTTTAATTCGAGGACATGATGATGTGTTTGGAGTAATAGATTTTCTGTAATCTTTTATCAATTAGTCCAGTCTCTGATACCAGATATTCAGCTTTAGGAGTTCTAACAGGTAGATACAATAATTTTTAAGCTTCCAGGTATATAAGAAAGACGAGAACTTACAAAGGCAGCTTGCTCTTCGGTGTTTAGAATCAGAATCATACTATCAAAGCGCAGATTTTGTACCTGCAGAGATCAATTTTCCATTTATTCTAAAGCTGTAACTACTTTAACTATTTGAGTAGTTGGGTTTATAAGAGGGCCTTTTTAGTAAGTTTCATTAAAGCCGCGTGAAGGGGATTCGGTATTGCCAGCGACAGCCCAACCCTCAAAACGAATAGTTATGTCGAAAATAGGTAATACGAAATTCACCCTAAGACTGCTATGTAAATACCAACAAATATTTTTAGGTGTGAAGCTAGACTTTTTCATTTCCGCGACAACTTCTAAAAACCATCTCCACTTGATTCTAATATCGTTTGTCAGCCCAATTGTGGTTGGGAGTGACTTGGTTATTCAAACTTTCTGAATTGTTCTGATCTTCCTTTGTACTTGACTGCATATTACTTGCAACCTCGTGATTACTGCGATCGATTTAGGGACAAAATTATTGAAAATTATTGGAAATGGCTACCACACATCGCACGTTTTCGAAGTCGAAGCTGTGCCCTGGCTTGGATGCGTGGGCGGCC